AGGACCACTCATCTGATCAGAAACGATGAAAAAGACGGATCGAAGAGCGGATAATATTTGGGAAAAGAATTAAATGGAAATGGAAATTGGGATGGTGACGATTAATATTATTGTGTTGTGTATGAATTTAATTGGAGCCACGTTTGTGGAGAATGTGCAGATGCATTCCCCTGAAAATTGGATCGTCTTCTCGATTTTTCTTTTTTAATTTCTTCATTTTTAATATAAAAAAAAGGTAAGAAAAATAGAAATGTACATACCCAACCTCCGTAAATCCAATAATAATAAAATAAATATTTTTATTTATATTTTGAAACAAATTAAAAAATGCACACTTTGACTAGTTAGCAGTGATAACCAAATCTTGTATTTACTACTATTAAAAAAATTAAATAAAATTATTCGTTTTTATATTTTTCTCCCTCTTGTTAAATAATTAATGGGGATAAAGATAAAATTATTTCTTATAAAAAAGTTTCTATATGTTTATAATAAATATAAATATATGTGAAATAGTTTTTAAATTCGTGTTTGTTCTCTCTCCTCTCTGCAATGTGCCTCTGCCTGGTGCCTGCTCTCTTTCTCCATCATTACAAAAAAAAAAAAAATAAATATAAAGAAAAACTTAAAAAAAAAATAAAGCCCCAAAAAATGGTGCCTTATTTGTACCGTACCAATTGGGTTTCATAATTTAGTGGTCCAATTATTATACGGTTTCGTTTTCAAATAACGTTACTTTTTTATTTTTTGAGAAAATTATAACGTTACTTCTTCCATATGTTTTGTAAACTTTTGATTTTCGTGACTAATAAACATATGATTTATTAAACTTTTTTTTTAAAAGATTTATGGGCTTTTTTAAATACAAAATTGTATATGAAGGTTAAAATTGGAATGAAAGTGGGTATATACTTAAAGAAAAGTGAAAGATAACAAGAATGAATAGAATGAAGTTGGTGTGTTAGAGGATTAAGACATGAAGAAGATGCCAAAGTGCCTTTATTTGGTAGAGATCTTTGCTATTAAGAAAAGAAAAATGTGCTGGTCACAAGTAAGGTCCAGAGAACGTCAAAATTATTAAAACGATTGTAAAAAAAAAAAAAACTCTTAGTACGAGAAGACAAAGACACTTTCGAAATGAGATTGTAATCATACGTTACAGATAGTAGAAGACGACCCTCCACTTGGTAAGAGAGGAAAAGTCTGAAGGAGGACAACGAGACAAGATCGCCTTGAACCTTAGCATAACCTCAGACATTGTCGAGGTGTTATGAAATACTCCAAAGTGATCATCCCTTGTCAACCGTCATCCCATGATGGTAGAGCGTGATTGATAGCTCGTCTTGAGATAACCTTAGAAATTATTCAGCCACCTCGGAAACACTCTCTTAGCACATCTCTGGGCATTTCATTTTTCTTTTCTACTTTGGCTGAACTATGCTATCAAAGAAAATTTGTGTTTTGGCCTCTTNATCTATTCTCTTCTCATAAGATAGTTTGGCTTGGATGGGTAATATTACTTATCACTTCTCTCTCTTTTTTCTAAAAGAATAGGCCAAAATGGCATAAATTTGAAGTGATATGGTGATTACATTTGAGGGATGTGTCCCTCCAACTTTGTATTTAAATAGACACCTCACATGCCCTATCATGTTCCTCTCTTCCCAATCACTTTCCAACAAAAACTAATTACCTTGTTTGTATATGGTCTGTCACACATCTTTTAATATGTATGTATATATATATAGTAACTTGTTTTTATTTGGTCAATTTAACGTTAATTTACACCGCTAAATGTCTAAATTCATACAAAATTCAACATGTCAGGTAATTACTCAATTGATGAACTTAGTGGCAAAAATCTATCAATCACAAAATTAAAAAATTTAACGAACTATTTATTACAAACATTTTAAAGGATAAAGATTAAATTAAATGCAGTTTAAAAAATTCGTTGATTGAATATTATTTTTCTTAACATATAGGAATTCAATAGACATAACATAACCTAGAACTTCGACAAACAAACTACATAACATAACCTAGAACTTCGACAAACAAACTTGTAATTTGACATTGTAGATAATAGTTTTACTTAAATTTGTATATTTAATATATAAAATAAATTTATAAATGTGGACTTAAGCTTCCATCCGGTGTCGTGGTGTAGTTGGTTATCACGTCAGTCTAACACACTGAAGGTCTCCGGTTCGAATCCGGGCGACGCCAATCGTTTTTAAATATATATATTTTTCAATTTAGTTTTGGGCCTTCTGTTTACGGTCATGGCCCACTAAAATCCCGACAAAGGTCCACTAAGGCCCACAAAATCAAGTTTATGTTTTGCGGATATTTTGTAATTTCAAACATTACCTCTGAAAGGGTTGACTTTGACCATCCGCAATTAAGACTTCAAACTTTGAACTGGCTCCTTTGCAAAAAAATAATAAATCTAAAATAAAAAATCTAAAAATGGCTTGTGGTGGAAATTAAATACATCTCTTAAAGGTAGTACAGCTGAGCTAATAATTTAATATTAAATTTATATTCGCTTTTCCAATTTTTAAAAGATTATTTGCTACAAAACCAATGTCAACTTTCTAAAATTTTATTTTTTATTCACTCGTGAAGTGAGACCAAACACAATATTTATGATTTTATTCTTAAATATTATAAAAGTATTATGATCTTGAAAGAGAAATGTGTAGGCTTTTTTCTTTTCTGGTTTAACGAGCATAAATAAGCACCCTGATGCTCAAATGAGTAGAGGTTCAAATTGGTTTATTCTAAAATTCAAATTGTAATATGCACCTACTCATGAAGTAGTTTACTCAGGATATTTATAGACCGCCAACCGATAGATGTTAACTACTCACAATATCCTCTCTAATTGCAGAGTAGTGGGAAGTAGGTCGTTAGAGGGTACAACTTTGCAGATATCTTCGAACTCCCAACTTTGAACTCTCACTACTCCCAAGGTAACGATCGAATGTTCCAAATTATTTGGAGGTCGTGTTTGAACGCGTGACAACGTGACAAAAAATTTCCAGCCCCTAACATGAATTTCCAAATAAATCATTCAAATATACTAAAAAGAATGACATTGTTAACACAAAATTTTAGAGAGGAAAAAGAATCTCATTCATTCATTTATTTCCCACATGCCCATCAATCATTTAAAGTTAAATATATAATTTTGTCTATATGGTATGTCAATTTTCAATTCTGTCTATGGCTTTCAAAATTTTATCCTTTAGCATTGCTACACATTAAATGAAAAAATTATGTGAAAATTTAACATTGGTATTATTTTATTAATGTGGTGTGTTGTCGGTACAATAATATTTTCATCTAGTTAGGGTATTAATTGACATAAAAATATCTCGACTTACAAGGCTTTAGTAACATTTTCTATAGTGTAAAAAAAAAACATTTTCTACTGCAAGATCTTATTCTCCACCTCACTTGAATTGTAAAAAATAAAAAAAATAAATTGTAGGTTCAAATTCTCATCCCTAGGTATTAAAATTAAAAAAAAATCTATGGTAMAAATTTCTCTGAATATTTTGAATCACTACTACCCTCTACATGATGATGATTACACTTTAATCCAATATAATTATGGGCATTTAATTAATTAATTAATTAATTCTGACAAAGAAAAGCTGTAATATTAGTGTCTCCTCTCAATAATAGAGCAAAAGGAAAGAAGGGCACATAAAAGAGAGCTTGGAACATTGTGCTGTGCTCATAGAGATAATCAAAACAGAAAAAAAAAACTCTATTTTTATTTTTAATATTAGAATAACCCAAAATTAAGCCCTATGTTTATTAGCTGTCTGGATTTTAATCAAAGCTTCCAAATCTTAACCAAAGCTTTTAATATTCATCCCCACCCCACTTTTATTTTCTCTAAAAAAATTGATGTACAATGACAAGAAAGCCCACGCTTGGGTAGGAAACACCATGAAGGGAGAGGATGTTTGGAAGGGCAATATTGGTCATTTGATTAATTTAGAACTCATAATCACATGGCTTGAAAATTAAAATTACTCTCATGTGATGTGACCACATGGATGCTTTAGACTCCTTCCAATTACATGTTGAATGTTGAGTCAAACCTCTCTCTCTCTCTCTTTCTCTCTCTATATATTTTAGTATTTGGGATTCAATCATAGTTCTTAATTATAGCTTTCATCCTTTTCTTCCTCTTTTTCCTCCATGTTTTATAGCTTTTAGCAAAATATATAAAACTTTCGGAGCGTTGCACGAAATGAAAAGTTTAGTACGTTTCAGTAAAGCTCATAATCTTCTCTAAAAATTTGTAGATTAGAATCCTCTCACTCTATATATTATGTCTTTTTTAGTACATCAAGTGGGGATGAGAGGATTCGAACTCATTACCTTTTGATCTGAGACATGTATTAAATTACTGTTGAGTTAAGTCCATGTTGGCTATCTCCACACCTGTAATGTAATACTCCAAAAATTACATTTTAAACAAGTCACCAAAAACATAACTCTAAAGTATAAGAACAAAAATAAGACCCGTGTCGTCGACCTAAACATCATTTAAGTGGTAAAACACCCATTACCTAATCTCTTCACAAGATCCATCATTAATCGTCAGGAAAATTGGAACTTTCAACCGACTCGAAATTATCTAGTTAGGGAACAAAGAGACTCAACCATTTTAAATACTAATATAAAGTTAAGAGATAGAATCCCTTTATAGGTATAGCACACAAAAGGATTAAGCAAGGGACAAGGATAATATGTAATTATGCAAGAGCGTGGGATTGCTGTATGTTTTGTTTTCCTAAGAAAAGAGAATCAAGTGGAAGATAACAGGGAGTTGAAGAAGTTTGCCATGCAAAAAAATGGTAATTAAAAGAGGGGCTTTTTGTCAGGTAGCTCCCTATGGCCCTAGGTGTCCATGTGCTATTTGCTTGTTTCGGGTTCACCAGACCACTTTGCCTTTTTATTAATCTCCCCCCTTAGTTCAAACCATCACAATTTGGAGAAGAGGTTAAAAACTTGCCTCTCTGCCCTTTATAAATCCCCTCTCATTTGCAATCTCAGACTCATTTACCCAACTTTCCCACCTCTGACACAATCATTTTCCTTCCCCATTTCCCGGAATCCAAACACTCCCCACACCGGAGAGAGGAAAAAGAAAATGGTTTCTATAGGAAGAAGTAGTGTTCAAGCTACACCACCATCACCACCACCGCCGCCGCCACCACCACCCACAGAGCCAAATTCCAGTCCTCGGATATCTTTCTCTTCTGAGTTTCTTGATGAGAGCAACTTCATTTCCATCACCCCCAATTCCCAGATAGAGAGAGATCAAGAAGTTTGTGAGAGGCAGAGGAAGGAGAGATCAGAGAAGCTGGCATGGAGTGCTGATTTTGAGTTTCTTTCTAACAAAGTTAGCAGCCACTCGATGACTACGGCCGACGAGCTCTTCTTCGAAGGGAAGCTTCTTCCCTTTTGGCAAATGCAGCAAGCGGAGAGGCTCGGCAAAATCAGCCTGAAATCTCCTAAGGATGTAGATGAAGAGGACTTGGTGGAGATAGAGGTAAACAAGGAGGCAGAGAACAAAGTGAATTGGTTCCTCGACGACGACCCGTCTCCAAGGCCGCCAAAATGCACTGTTCTGTGGAAAGAATTGTTGAGGTTGAAGAAGCAACGCGCCTCATCGACGCTATCGCCGTCTTCTTCTTCATCCTCGTCCTCATCTTCTTCCAGGTCTATGGCTGATGTAGCTACAACAGAGGAAGGCAAGGAAGGGACAGCAGGAAACAAAGAGAAGAACATAAAGAGGATAAAGAAGGGGTTAGAAAGGACAAGATCAGCCAGTATAAGAATAAGGCCTATGATTAATGTGCCAATCTGCACACAGGTGAAGAGCAGTGTTTTGCCACCTTTGTTCCCACTCAAGAAAGGAAGATTTGATAGATGAGAAGATGAAGTTAGTAGCCAAAGTCAGCAGCCCAAGATCTCATCAAGTCTAGTCCAACATGTTAATCTCCCTCTCTCTCTTTCCCTCTCTCTCTCTGTCTCTCTGTATTGTCACATTTCTTCACAAAATTTCCAACTTTCTTTCTGGGTGTATGGATTAACGTTGATTATGGTGGTGGATCTAATAATCTACGATTGTAAATGCTGACCTCTAGTTTTGTTTGTTGGTATTCCTTGATTAATGACATTATGCTTTTTTGCTCACATACCTTCTTGATGTACCCTTCATCTTTGTCCTCCTGAATAGCAAAATTTGGTAATGAACAGTTCGATGTCACATGCCGGATGCAGCAGCCTCGGATCAGTGGGTCACACACATTTCAGTACAATACAAGAGCAGTTTTCTGAATCAAACCTGGGTCCAAATTTATCTTCAACAGTTAAAAACTGTTTGTTATTCTATAAAAAGGCATAATTTTTCATATTAAACGTTTAAACATTCAAAGAGAGATAAATATTTGTAAACAGATCCGACCCGAACCTGAATTGCTTTTTGTAACAAATTATTTGACCGTAAAAGCTCCATGCCTTTGATCCTCAATGGTGTACCCCCACCATTTATGAATTCCGAAGCAGTGCTGCAGAAGCTGTAACTGCACCATCTGACATTAGTTCAAAAGTGTATGCATGTTTTGAAATCGAATTAATTTTATGTAGAGGAGATGTGGCTAGAGTAATCTATCAGACGAAACTGCCAGATTGGCAGGACAAATGATTAAATAAAGATGAATTGAGAAGAAAAAAGTGAAAGCGACAAATGAAGAGAAAGCATACTGATACAGCTAAGCTCGGTTGACTGCAACAGCAAACAGAGTGGATCAGCTTACAACACCCTCTAAATTAAACGACCAAGGGGAGGGAATTTGCTGGGGGGAACATAACCACATCATAACACAATACAAGAACATAGCAAAATTGAGAATTCTTTATCAAACCCAAAATCATATTATTAGCAAGAAACAATTATACATGGGCAATTATGTGCACCCAATTAGGGAATAAGAGAACAGTAATCTTGGTCTGTGAGTACACGGGGTGATTGAATGTGGACAATAAATCAAAGAATAAAACCACTAGGACGGCAACTCGTACATATTGCAACAAAGAAGGCTATCGAACAAATTTCTATTCCACAATTGCAGGCTAATGGGTAGGCCAGTTTCCTTGAAGAACTTACAGGGCAAAATGTTACACTGTTCTTTCTCGAACACTACTATACACAAACAAACAATTGGCATCTGATACCCTTTACATTTACCTTTGAGGAAAAAAGAAAAAAAAAATTAAAAAATACAAAATTGCTAAGCAGGTGGCGGCCCCGATAGATGGTTTCCTGGAAAGACCCTGTTTAACCAAATTACAAAAGTTAGACGAATGCGTGCAACTGAGAAATTTTGAAGTAAAAGTTTATGGACAATTAGCAAGTACCTAAGCTCAAGTCCCTTTTTATTAGCAAGACTTGAAGGAACTTCACCAGTCAAATTATTGTTGTATAAGAACCTACAACAACCGGAAATCAAGCCAAATATAATGAATTAATTAATTGCCGTTAAATATACCATTTCAACGAGAAATTTAAAAAATGTTCAAACAAGACATGTAGTCATCAAAGGGTACTCTAAAATTTACATAATACTCATAAAATTTATTCAAGAATAAGTAGGATAAACACATGGTGATGAAACAGATTAGAACAGAAAAAAGTGAAAATCCTAGATAACTGATAACAGTGTTGATCAACACATATGTACTATTTATTTCCGAGATCCTGACAATGTGAGGATGACAGTCCTCCAGAAAGTATAAGACGAATATATGAAAATTTTAAAAAGTAATACTTATAGCGATGGTTATGGATTGTATTTTTTTGCAGTCATATTTTATCTTTGCAAGAGTTAGATACTTTAACACCCTATATTTTCGCCTTTCAAACTTAAGTTTGCAATTTGCATCGATGAAGTTGCTAACATCAGTTACATTTATATAAAATTCTGTTAATTTCATCAACTTGTGGCAGCCAAACATGGCACAATCAACAATATTTCCAATAATCTGAAGTACGTGAGAGATGAATATCCTTGCTGTGTATATATTTCCTATGTAACCCAAAAGAATATGGCTACTACTTAGCCATTACATGACCTAACTTATGAAAAAAGTTCTATGTTCAAACTTCTATGTAATAGCAATGCGGTTAGGACCATGAGAATTATACATCAACAATTTTGCAACAGAGAAGAAAGCAGAATAATTTAAGGATAAACAACTTTGACATAATGCATATAACTTCTAAACTAAAGATTTTCCTGAACCAAAGTATATCTATGTATGACTAAGCAATAAACCAATACAAGTAAACTTACAATTCCCGCAAGCGAGGCATATTTCCAAGTGATGATGGAATCTCTCCACTGAAATTATTATCTTCCAAATGCCTTAACATGTAAAAACACAAATTTAATAATTGAGACATAAGCTAAAAAAAAAACAGCAAAGAAAGGTTGATAAGATGAATCCACAAACAAAATTGATAAATGTCAAATACGATATTCAGGAAGCCAACTTTGTCAAGATCTTTGGGAAGATAATGCGTATTATATACTAAGAACTACCAAGTGCAAAAACAAAATATTATAGCCACCTTGTCATGCCACATACAACAGGAAAGGAAAAAAATATTTTTTTTCACAGATGTGAAACCATGACAACACTTCAAATGCTGTCGCTCATGATATATTTCTAAATGCATTACTCAATCCCCTTCAGGAGTCCAATAAGAAATGGAATATAAAGGAGAAGTCCAAAACATACACTATCTCCAATAACTTCAGTGGACTGAGATCAGGAATGGGTCCAGAAAAATTGTTGTTCCCAAGCCAGCTGCAAAACGAAGAACTGGAAATTAGAAAACTTTATCATTCAATTCGATTAATTTAAAAGTTCTAGTGTAATACTAACATTCCAGACAATGCAGTAAGATTGGCAACACTAGGTGATAAGGATCCTGAAAGGTCCATACTTGTAAGGTTTCTGAAATCAGGAAAACAGAAGTAGTTCGTTAACATGAATTGAATATGATATATAAAATTTAAAAGCCACAAAGAGTCCCAACTCACAAGGTAACCACACGAATTCGAGTGCCAGAAGAACATGTAATTCCTGTCCAGCGATATTGACTGGGGAAACATGGATCACCATTCCAATCTGCTGGGGGGTTTTTCAGACTATTTTTTATTCTCTCCAGAGCGATGACTGTGATCAGAAAACTAGTCAGCTTTAAGAGGTTTACAACTAACCACAATAGAAATCAGGAGAATAGCAAATTATTTACAACATAATAAATAGCAATGGAGAAACAATAGGTTATATTGCTGTACATTTAAAATTGCACATAAATAATCATGGATGAAATGAAGGACCGGCAACAGAGATTGGCTAGTAAAACATGTCAACTTTTTTCCTTTTTCCTCTTCCCTCATTCTCCAATGCTTTAATAATTCAAGATCTATTTCCTTTTTAATAAGAAACAAGCCAAGATCTATTTCCTTTAGCATCACAAACTGCACGAGCACTCACAAGGCATCTAAAATGACTTCATTCTAATTACATGATGAAACCAAAAATTGACAAGGAACGGGATATATGATTAGGACATCATGAAAAAGCTACGAACTGCAATTAGAAATACACCCATGTGCTTCCATAAAAGACGGTTGGCACATATCATATGTAAAAAAAGACAACGAAAAAAAAAGTTTACTTACTGTCTCTTGTAAGAGTTCTTGCTTCAAGGGCCAAAATGTCAAAAAGCTCTCCACCATTGATCAATGGGCCAAGTTTTGAACTAGGAGAGGGAGTCAAGGTTATCTTCATTGGACCATGAAGAGGCCACCGAGAAGCAAAAACAACATGACCTGCCGAAGTTGCATTTAGATCATGGTAATATGGTATACCATTCACACTTATGTTGAATACCCTCGAGTTATCTAGTGATGAAGCATGATCATTCGCAAAGTATAGAGCAATGTAATATGTTGAATTTGGAAGAGAAAAACGAGGCCAGTTCAACTCCAATGGTTCCAACGTATCAGTCTTCAGTTCTGATTCAAGCATCTTTGACGGGGGGAGATTCCATATACCAGAGGCAGATACATTTCTATTGGTTACATTCCAACTGCTATTCCCAAATGGTTGCCAAAACCGATCAAATTGGTCATCAGGATACCTATTAATTCCAAAAAATTGCGAAAAGGAATAAGAAAAGAAGGAATTGGCAGAAATCAAGTTCAAACAAAATTAGAGACAAGTCATAGACGTTTCTACATCATGTCAAAATCCCTAGACTTGAAAAGAAAAGTAATGCAAATAGTAGTTGTTAGGCACAGCATGTCTGGGTAATTCAAAACCCTGAATTTGGTAGAATGCGCAATGAAAAAGGGAAACAAAAAAAAAAAGAAAAAGAAAATCAATTCAAGCTTTAGATTATTCTTGGATAGTCCTGCATTAAATCAAGAACCCAACTAGTGATAAATAAATCCTGGCTACACAGGCATATCCCAAAAACAGTAAATTGTGAGGAAAGGAAAGAACAACAAGAATGAATTGGATGCAGAACGATAATAAAAGATTGACATAGTAAGAAAACGTCAAAGAAGCTCATTAGATCAAACTACATGCCAGGAACTAATGTCAAATCGTTCCTCTTAGACCCACATGGCTGGCTCCCGAAAAATCAGAAAATGGAAAGTCAAAAGAAGTATTAAATTCTTCGCCCTTTTCGGAAACATACCGTAAGTTGGATCCATTGTACCCAAAACTATGCCTAGCAACCAAACTCAAGCCGAATTTCTCAAAATCCGTGGTATTGTAAAGAGAATCCCCCAACATGACAACCTCCAAGGCAGAAATAAAAGGGTCGGAATCCGTATACGTATTGGAACCAATGCAAACACTCATCGACTTCCCCTTGGCCATAAAAACCCCCTCGTAATACGACGTCAAATTCCCAGCATAATCCTCGGTAGTATTCACGACGCCCCAGAAAGTCCCATCAACAATCTGATCGAAAACCGGGGGCGAAGGAGAATCGCCGCCGTTAACCCCGCCGTAGAAATACGTGGTCCTAACCATATACCTCCGGCCACGAAACACCGGTAGAACATAACAGAACTTGCGATTAAGAACCCTAGGAAAGGAGCGGAGAGTGGATAGGGTAGGAACAAGAACGGGGCCGGTGAGGTTCTTGGGGGTTCCAGCGAAGACGAAGGCGTCGGGTTGCCAAGTACGGCCGTCGAGATCCGTCGGGACGGTGGAGCCGCAATCGATGAAATAGCCTGGAAACAGAGAAGAAAACGGAGAATAAGCAGAGGAAGAAAGTAAAGAAAAGGAGCAGCGACAATGGCGTACCTCTGAGGGAGTGGGAGGGGGCGATGGAGGAGAAGAGGGAGAGGAGAAAGAGGAGAAAGACGGAAGAAATCGCCATTGGAGACTGAGAATGAAGAACGAACAATGAAGAAAGGAATCGGAAGAGGATACAGAGGTGGACTCTGGTGGTGGAGTTGTGGAAGAGGAAGGAATTAGTTGAGGAACCATCAACGCGGGAAAATCAGGGCCAGGTCAGAGATGGGTGGCGGTTATTATTTTTATTATTATTATTATTATTTACTGCATATACTTAAAAAATATACATATAATATTGAGGGGTAGATTCGAATTTACTACTATTTCATTATACATAGATGTCTTAACCCATTGACAATATTTAAGTGTTTACTTGTACGCAAGTACCACTATTAAAAAATTGATAATTGATAATTATAAATGTACAATTAAATATCAAGAAAATATAATAAATAATTTTTTTTAATCTAGTTCGACAATAATTGGCATATACCTCAAACTAAGAGGTTGTGAGTTCAAATCCTCACCCCAAATTATTTCGGTCTAAAATTCTTTCTTTTTTCTACAAATATAGTTTGATAGTTTAGACATATCTACCTCCCTCCGTAATTGAAGTTACATATTCAATAGGATAAAAAAGAGAGGTAAAAAGATGGCAGAGACAATTTCTGATATTTGACTGAAATCTAATAAAAAAAGTTTAAAAATTACAAGAATGAAATCAAAAGTGAGTTGCAATTATAAAAGAAAAAACGAAACATTTTAACAGTATTTAATTTTATTTTTTTGATAAAATAACAGTATTTAATTTTTAGAATAATCGTCTGTTTTTAAAATATTATTATTTTTATTATATAAATTAATGTCAGGTGGGCTAGTGTGGAAATTAACAAGGTAGGTTAAATTTGGTACATCCTTTCCAATAAATAAAACAATATTTGGCAATTAATGAGTTTGATCTGTTAAAAGTATTTCTTTAAAGATTAAAAATCAAAATGGTTACCTGTAGGTCCGGTAGCTGGTGGAGTTGTTAACGTCAGACTGGCTCGCACGAACACGGCAAAAATGGCATATTATAAAAGGTGGGCCCAGGCTATCCTGATCAGACGTCGATCCAAGTCAACACGTCATCTCGTGGGCCTCACGTGCGCAAGTTAGCTCCCTTGGCGCAGACTGGTTGAAGCGCACGTTAGTTCCTCGAGTTCTGTCCGAAAATGACGGGCATAAATCTTTAAAATAAAATACCATAGTTTATTTTATTTTATTTATCTGAGGACAACAAATTGAAGATACGATGATTTGAACTTTGGACCTCAATCAAAGGTAGATAGCAATAATTATATTTTGGTTATTTTAAATTATTTTAAAAATCAACACAAAACTCTTCTAAGTCATATCACATCAAGTTTCTAACTTAGAAAGGCCAAAGTTTCTAACTTTCGACCTTTTGATCGATGATATATATTTTAACCCGTTAAACTATGTTCAGTTTTTTCTTTCTTTTAGTTCAACAACATGTAGAATGAAGATTTTAACCTCTAACTTTTTGATCGAGACATATATTTTAACCAATTAAGTTATACATGTTCATGTCGGCTCGATCAAGTTTACTTGACCAAATAACATGATTTGAATTGTTTGATAGGATAGTGATTGCGAATAGATCTATATAGTGACAACTTTTGACTTGAACTTCAATCCCAAAAATGAAAGGTAAAAGGTAGAGTTTAGTGGCAATCCTAAACTTGTACTCTAAACAACACAAGTTTCCTAAAGTTCAGGGTTCTTAAATCCTCCCCTTAAGTATGATGAAGTTCCATTCCTTAAGTATGATGAAGTTCCATTGCAGCAAAGCAACATAATTGCAACTGGATTTAACAAACAGATGAAAAGAGAAGGTGATTGGTGCAGAAAACGGGGAGATTTTCTAAGTATTTGAGGTCAAAGCCTACATTACATTGAAGAGGCTTCATATTAATTAGAGAACATTGGGCACAGAGAGAAGCATCTATATAAATATGTTGTAGTTCTACATCTAACGTTGCTGTGTGAAGCGTGAGAAATTATACAAACGCCATGAATGATGGATGGAAGTTGAGTGGAGCATTTGAGGAAGAAGAGCTCTTAAGCACTGGCCATTGCGCTTTTAGAAGAGGGTGTCACTCATTTCTTGTGCTCCACAAGTTCAGCATTCACCTGATAATGTGTAATGCTGAAGAGTCCATATTTGGAGTGTTATGGAATTTCTGAGCTGAACTCCGAAGCAAAGCCGAAGTGATGGCGTCGACATTTCGAATCTCTAATCAAGCCCATCCATTTCCTCTTCCATTGGAGTTATGTCCTCTGGAATCCGAGCCTTGGCCATAACTTGATCTCTTCTTCCTATGTGTTTTCCATGTTATTACACACCTACTCCATTCGCTTCCCGACTCGGCCAGGAATTCGTGTTTTTTAATACTTACTCCTCCTTCGGACCTTTGTCTCTTTGGGATTGGTTCCAAACCAGAATTGTCTTCACTCGTTCCTTCGCTCGTTAGAGGCACGTTATCATCAAACTCTATCAGCTTATCCTCCTGCCTTGTGCTGGTTGATGCACTGCCTTCACGTGTGGGAGTTTCCCTTCTATTTCCTTTCATTGAAAGGTTTGGAATTTCTCCATTTTCCACGGCCTTCATCCACTGCAAATCACTCAATGTATCAGCATAAACCACCTCCTTCCTTCTTCGTTTTCCAGCGATGTTGAGAACTTCTGAACCCTTGTTCTTCTCTTCATTACCGTCGGGTACCGAGTATACCCACTCAGGTACCTCGTGTTCTTCCATCAGACGAGATCTATATTTCTCCTTCTGTCTTCTTTCTTCGTCCATTTTCTCAAACAGCCAAAATTCTTCATCTGATCGAGCTGCAAGTCGATTGATTTCTCTCTCGCTCGGCACATCGGTTCCAAGTGCGCTAGTTCCTCTACGCATAATCTCCTCCAACATCTCTCTTCGGTCTTGAGCTGGAAGAGACAGATCGAGGCAGAACAAGTGAATGGAAAATCAAAAGATAGAAGAGCCGAAAGCAGAATAAATAAGTCAGAAAAAAACTAAGGGGGAATTTAGACATTCTTTCCTATTCAAGTACAAATAACAAACCTGTTGAAGTCGTATTGAAAAGTCCAGCCTGGATGACCTTGGCATCAATCCCCATCTTCTGTTTTGCACGCTCCAGGATTACCTCTTCAACTGATCCAACACTAACCAGGACAAACACCCTTACTTCCTTTTTTTGTCCAATACGATGAGCCCGATCCTCCGCTTGCTGGTCCATTTGAGGGTTCCAATCACTGTCAAAGATAATAACAGTGTCTGCAGTTTGTAAGTTCAAACCTAGACCACCGGCCCGAGTACTCAAGAGAAACATGAAGAATGGGGAATCTGGAGCATTAAACTGCTTCACTAGAGCCCCTCTTTCTTCAGTCTTTGTCGAACCATCGAGTCGTAGATATCTAAAATCATGGAGCTGAAGGTAAATTTCTAGAATGTCCATAAGGCGAGTCATTTGTGAGAAAAGCAGGACTCTGTGCCCAGCTCTATGGAGTTTTGGGAGTAAACGATCCAGTAGTTCAAATTTTCCAGAAGCTCTGACAATCTCCTCCCTGCGCCAAATATTATAATCTCCCAAAATAAAAAGATATGGATGATTACAACACTTCCTCAGCTGCATTGTTAAATTTTGTAGGGACTTTGATTTGCCAGAACCTGCCAAACGAAGAGTTGTTAATTAATGCAGTAAAAGATTTACAAAAACTGAAATCAAATAAGGTAAATAAGTTCAAAAAGACAACAAAGATACTCCGACCAAAACATATAACAAGTATCATAAGAGCCTAAGAGGGACATTGAAATTTCGATAGCATTTGAAAAATTGAGGACATTATTTGCATTTCATCAGAGTGGTTGAACAAAAAAAAAACTAATTTTATTCCCAAGCTAAGCATAAAAGCATACCAGTGTCAACTCTGCCAATAGAAGTGACTTGTTGATAGTATACTTTCTGCCATGCTGACATATCGCATTTTAGTATGACTTGAGACTTCTCAGGAAGATACTTTTCCACCTCATCCTTTTTCCTCCTCAATATGAATGGCCTAATAACCTAAAGGAAAACATATTAAAAAGGCAGACAAAAAGGAAAATGAAAGATAATCTGAAACGTGGGAGAAAATCAAAGAGACAATGCTCACATGATGCAGACGGCGAATGATCAGTAGCTCTTCTTCATCTGTCAGAGTAACATCACTACGATCTGCAAATGGTGCATTAAACCACTCCTGGAAGTTCTGGACAGAATTAAATATATGCGGCAGGAGAAAATTAAGCAAGGACCATAGTTCCTGCAAACTGTTCTGGATAGGTGTACCGGTTAAGAGAAGTCTACGTTTGATCTGGTAGCTGCAAACAAGTAAATGTTTCAAATATACAGAAATCCATATTTTATGTTTTTGGTTCATGAAGGATAAAGATTTGAAGGACAGTTAGGGCACGATTATGTGAACAGTATCTCCTACAGAAGAAAAGAACTAAATAAACAAGCTCTGATGGGAAAATAGTATTTCCAGCAAAAAGAGACCTTAACGTATGTTACTTGAAGGAATATGTCAAGCTCTGATAGGAAATAAGTAAATAACGAGAAATAAGGGCATGTCTTGTATGTGTAAGAATCATACCCTGCAAGAGTTTGTGCAAGAGCACAATCACGATTTTTCAGCCGATGGCCTTCATCCACAATCATATAATACCAGTGTATTTTCTTCAAAAATGCTTTATCTCTCATAATGAGATCATAATGTGTAATCAAGACACTAAATTTTCCTTCACCCAATAGTTCTTCCTTTATAGCCTTTCTCTCCTCCTGACGTCCGTCATAAAGAACAGCAGCAATACTGAATAAGAGAAACAAAAAGAAAAATAATTCCAAAGTGAATATAACCGTGCATATATGTACATCTATATGAATAAAATGTGACATTCAAATTTGAATATTGCATATTTAACAAGCTACAGAAACAGATATGTACATCCAACAGAATGAAATATAACGCATTTAATAAATTATTGTTTTTCCCAAAAATTCTTATAGCTTTTTGAAATGTAAAGAATGTGCTAAAGAGAGAGACAGATAGAGGTAACGTAAAAA